CAAAACACGTATTAGTCCATTTGATAGACACTGCTGCCCTTTAGAAGTCTACATCTTCCGACCTTTCACACGCAACATATTTTATTGGTAAGTCTAACGCCTATAGAATATTTGTTTGTATTCCACATGAGATGTTCATATACTGAGTTTTACTAATTTGCTATTCTTGGTCCACAATTTACCCGATCTGAAATATTGAAAAGATGTAATGATATACGGGTGTCCTAGATTATACCTGCTCAAAATGTAATGTAATCTACATTTACACCTACCAGTAAAAATATCAATACTTGATATTCAATACAATTCTACTAGATTAGCAGTTTTGAAAATGCTTTGACTTTATTATCTTGGTTTGTGCATGACAAATTTTGTTTAAATTTAAAAACTTTGAATCACTGCCAGTCACCCAGAAAAGTTTTTTTATTACCTGAGTGTAAGAGTCCATAGATCCCGTTTCCTCATAGACAAGGACGTTACAGGTCTGTGAGAGTTGTAATATGGATTGAAAAGTCAAGTTTCAGATGAAAACTAGATTTCTGAATTCAGAATTTCAGAGCGCACACATGTGTAGCTTCTTCAGCTGAATGATCACCAATGGCAAAGATATTCCACCAAGCACCTCCCTGCAATGTTTTTGGACATGCACTGGCCATATTTGCTGCTATGAGTGACTAACCCTAACCCTATCCCAAAAAAAAAAAAAAAAAAAAAAACACACGAGAAATTGTACAGTAGCCAATACATCTGAAAGAATTTCGGAAAGTGAGAAGGCCAATGCTACACAATGAGTAATTGACAACTTGAAAGTTGAAAGTCCATTATGGGCGTGGACGCCTTAGTACGTCGTCCTGTCAGTGGGAAAGAAAATTATAGCATTCCTTTTGCCATTTCTTATTTACATTTCATGATCAATCAGGTTAAGGTGTGGATTGAACTTGCCTGCAATTATTGCTGACTAGCTATAGTGCCATGATTGCTCAGGGGTGAAGGGCGAAGCAGGTCCGGATTCTCAGCTATTGCCTCATCTTTGGGACGGACATTGGTGCCCTTTTTGACCATGTATGACACCAGAGTGACCACAAGGTTTCCTGAATAGCCATTTTGCCACAGTGATTTGATGTTCTCATTATTCCACAAGGGCCAAATGAAACAGAAAGGCTGGTTTGTAGCGAGTACTGCAACAACAGAGTATTACAATACAATACAATACAATACAATTTATTCTTGTATAGCCCTAGGTCACAACAGAAGTCATCTCAGAGGACTTAACAAAACCACATAAAATGGTCAGTCAGTCTATTTACAGCACAGTTGCAACAAACAATGCAACATACAATGTCAAAATATGTACATTTGCCATCAGGTCTATTGTTTTTGTGATTCATAATAAATCATTATAAAGCTTTTGAGCAGAAATGGCCAGCTATGATTTGTGTCTGGTAACACGTAGGCAGAATCTAAAAGACACTTTAGCAGTAATTGGCTTCCAATATGTTTGGTTTTGCAGACATTTACATTGATATAATCAAAGATGATATTTCCAAATACTGTTGATCAGCGCATTATAACCAGCTGATCTGCTCTAAATTCCAAATGATTTTGTCTTGTTGAAGTACTTGAATGGCTTACACCCTCGACATGTTGAATTTAAATATCTCTGTACCTCAGTATATTCTCCTTGGTTGAACTTCTGTGCAGAGTCTAACTAAGTAAGTGCACCATGGTTGTGCAGTGGTTAGCACTTGTACTTCACAGCAAGCCAGGGCCCTGGGTTTGCCTATAGACAGGGCTTGTCTGTGTTTGCATTTTCTCCTCGGGTGCTCCAGTTTTCCGGAAGAGCGCTAACTTTTTGAGAGATGCTAACAATCCATTCAGCATCTCACTTTGGACAAGAGCAGATAAAATGGTCCAAACCAAGTGGCTACACAACCTCTGCTGCTGTGACCTGAAGGGCTGTTGTATTTTAATACAAGTGTTATCTATTTTTAGAGTGATCCATTTCTTTTTGTTTTGTTTGTATGTGTTTCTGCTGCTAATGGACCCCTGTATTTCTTCTGTGGGGATTAATAAAGTATCTATTTAACCAGCAATCTAATATATCTCACCTGTAAGCTTCCCTATACTTACATCACCTGTTTGACTTCATGTTACGTATAGCACAACTCCATACCTTGGCAAGCCAGTCCCCTCAGACACTTTATTTCCATCAGAGACAATGTACAATAAACATTAATCCTTTGAACAAAAGAACATATTTTCAGTTTCCAGGTTTCTTGCAAAAATTGCTAGTTTTCCCATGTAGGTGGACATAATTACAGAAAAACAACTGATTGAAAGTCCATTTACATATTTTAAACAAAGAGCCTCAAGTTGTTTTTTCTTTATACTTTTCTCTGTTCATTGAATGTTTTCTTTTTATCATGATCTTTCATCATACATCAGGTATGTTTTATGCATCCTTAATTTTATTATAGTTATCTTTTTGTTGTCATTAGTTCATGGACTGACAATAAGGCACTCTCTGATGGAAAATGTATAAATATATTTTTTTATACACCAACATATCCAAACTACCAAATGTTTCATGCATTAGAATTTTAGCGTCTTCACTGTTGCTCAATCCTGCTTATATCTATCACTGTCTCCACTGTTTGGGTCATTTGCGTTACAGGTCACTGTAATCTTTCGAGAGGGTTTGATTTATTTGTGCGTTTATCTGCGCCGATTGCTTGAGAAGGCACTCACTCTTGCATGCTCTGCCCCGCGGTGCAAGTGAGAGAAGGCCGGTGACCAGTGATTGTCTGACAAATGGGTTGTGCGTAGCTCTCCGTCGGCCCGATACATTACTGCCTGACCCTATCTGACCAAGCAGACACCAGCTCAGTGGAGAGAGCTGCCTTGTCACAACGCCCTTATCCAGTTTTGTATCATTAACCAGGTACTTAGGCTCGGAAAGTCCATGCCTTTTCTTTGTTTATTAGATTGGGCCTCTCTGTAATTCACTAAACAGATCCCGAACATTGTCTGCATCATTGTGAGGATAAGGAACTGGAAACTATTATTTCTTACCAGATGTAAGATTGGGGATTGCTGTTCTTTTGCACTGTGTATATAATCTTTACTAATTCCATCTCCTGTCATTATAGAATAGCCAAAACAAGCTATCATATGTTTTGCATTGTTTTCCTAAAATGCATTAATATATATTTGTTTGAAACCAAATGACTTCTAAAAAAAATAGTTTGCCATTGTATAGACTAGATACAGATTCAATCATCCAAAATGGGATATTTCATTCTATGACAACACTAATTTAAACTGATTCAGATCACCAAAAAATGATACTTTCTTGACAACAGTGGATATTTGAAGTAATAATAACTTGAGAGCACGTGGTTGCACAATCAATTCTTGTATAGCCCTAAATCACAACAGTTATCTTGGAGGACTTTACTCAACTGTTGAACTCGCCAACACAGAGAAGAGAATCGGTTCAGTTCAATCAGAAACATTTCAAACACAAGAAATAAAACAAACACGTTGGTATTGGTCCATAAAGGGCAGATGATCAATGTCCATAAGTTTTGATAAATGTCCATACATTTTGTTGAATGTTGAGTGTCGTGGATCATCACCACTGTCGTTTTAGTTAGACCCTCACAAGGCTATAACAGATCCTCTTGCATCGGCAAGGTAAAACTCTAAACCCAGTGGAAGAAAAGTGAGCAACCTCGGAGAGATCCACAATGAGAGAGGGATCCGCTCCACACAGACGGACAAGATATATCATAGATGGAGGACCTAAGCTACAGAATAAAAACCAAGGCCTCATGGTGCAGGACTCGGGCTGCAGAATGGAGATAGGCGCGATGCAGGACTGAGGCAGCTTCCAGGTGGGGAGGGGTTGTAGCCCATGTCGGGCAATCAGTATGGAAGAACTGCATATTCCCCAGGGCCCAACAGACTGTTGAACTAAAACCTTTTTATTTCAAAAAGTGTGTTTTAAATAATGTTATGTACTGTTATATGCTGTTATTTGTTTATTTTTACTTTTGATTGCAGCACAGAATATAAAGAGCATTATAATAAAATCCCGTGATTTTATTCCAGATAAGAAATTACCGAGATATAATCTTGTTTTTTGGAACTGACAACTACAACTTTATATTCATATCTAAGCCCTGCTATACACTTTTAACCTCATTCAAACAAAATTGGCTTTGAAAATAACATAAATTGTATTTGAATTTCATTCCTTGAACATGAATGGCTCAATGGCGGTGTAGGGATGCACGATACTAGTATCGGGTTGCTACCATAGGCTTTTACTTGTACCATAGGACCCGATGCCAGAACTGTTACCCACATTTTTAATTTACATTTCATGAAAGCAGACAGCTGTGCTGCATATGTTGCCATGGTGATCTCCAAAAGTGTGCAGCAAGCCGCTTAGTTTAGCCGCTCGCTAAGCGGCAAGCGTACAGGATCTCGGCCATACGGCAGTAAACGAGTGACAAGAGTAAAGTGGACTGTAAGCTTTACTGTAAAAACTAACACTTATACCACCAGCAACTTGATAAAACATCTGAAAACTCACCACCATGGGGAGTATAGCACCTTTGCTAGCACAGGAGCTAGCTCCGGAGCACAAAAACAACTCTACAACATAGCATTTGTATGAATGGAATATGAAAGTGGCTCTGATTGTTGACTGTTAAAACAATTGCTAAAATTTAAAAAATAATAAACATTTTAATTTTCAGTGGTATTAGTTATATGAATTCCCAGGAATAACACAAATTAAGGTACTTACTCGTATCGGTTTTTGAAAAAAGTGGTATTTGTGCATCCCTAGTAGTGACTATAATAGAAGGATTAATAGTTGGCTTTGACTAATTTTAGGTAATTAAAGTTTATTCATCTGCGCACACCTGCTTCAGATGGATTAGTTGTTTTTTTAAGCCTCTGGTAATAATCTAAACATTTCCTCTTGACAGATTTATTCAGGAGATCGAGAAGAACATGGGACCAGGCCAAGCCAAGCAATGTCAGCTCCGAGCCTTCCTCACATACTACATCAACGACCTCTTCCTCAACCAAGTAAGATCCAGATTACTCTATGGACCTTTGTCTTGCAAATGTAATATACTGTAGACATATTTGTATGTGCGTTAACCACATTTTTGGATGATTAATTTTTCATTACTTGTTATCTACTCCTCTCTAAAATATTAGGTTCGAACAGAAATCAATAAGGAGATTGAGACAGTGAGTAAGACAGCAGACCCTCTGAAGTTCCTCGCCAGTGCGGACACTATGAAGGTGTTGGGGGTCCAGAGACCAGTCCTGCAGGTACGGATAATATTGATTATCACAAATACAAATCACTAAATTACCCCAGTTTGAATATACAATTTGTTGCTAACAGTAGCTGGAGCTATCCTCAAAAGTAAAGGTCATACAATCTTCTTATTTATAAACATAATTAGTAGAAGCATAAATAAACAAATACACTGAATGTGATGTAACAGCAGAAGAGTTCTTCCAGGTAACAGATGCTGACTTATATCTGATGTGAATTTATGCAAATGTTTTTGTTTGACAAAACTAAATCAAACTAATCAAGTTGGACAGTGCTGCTGGGCTTGACTAATAATTTAAATGTTTAAAAAATGTTAACAAAATGAATAATGTCTGTGCCGATAATCGGTCGCCTCTAATTATAACCTAGCACCCTTGGCCCCACAATATACCAATTTTATTATAACTGTATTTAGAAGCATCGACATGATCAGGCCCTAGCTATACTTATCAAATTTCCCTACCTTGCTATTTTTTCGTTCTCCATAATAAAGCTCATTGGTAGGCCTGTCACGATAACAAATTTTGCTGGACGATTAATTGTCTCAGAAATTATTGCGATAAGCGATTATATTGTCGTTCTGAGATCATATTGTCGTTCTGAGATCATTTGCATCGATTACAATGATCATGCAGGTACACCTTTTCAAAGAGAAATAAACTTTTATTTTTAACGAATATTTAACGCTAGAACACAATAAATTTACAAACAACCAAAAACAATAAATAAAATACTCAGTCTCTTAACAAAAAATGACCAGGAATAAAACTGCCAGGACCTTTGTAAAGAAAATATGAAACCGATGCCTCAAATGTCAATAATTTCTCAGACTTTATGGCAGATTACGAGAAAGAAATACCAACATGTTGACTTTGTGTGCTTAAGACAGGATCTCTCAGGAGTAGTTCTTTACTTGATACCTTTGGTCTCACTCAGCATGTGAGTGGCCCCACCCACAGCAGAGGGCACACTCTAGACCTGTTAGTTACAAAGGGGGTGAATATTTCAAATATAAGCGTGGTCGATGTTGCTCTTTCGGATCATTTCTGTGTATTTTTTGACATGTGTTTCACTAACAAACCACCAGTGGACTCTGCAACTGTTCGAAGAAGACACATAAATGAAAATACGAGTGATCTATTTATGGGAATGATAAACTTTGAGAATGCATCGTATTCTACTGTAGATGAACTGTTTAACTCTGTCACCTCTAGTGTTTTGAATGTTCTGGATACCGTTGCCCCTGTGAAGGTTAAAATAGTGAAAAATAAGCAGAAGGCGCCGTGGGCTAAAGCAGACTCGGTCAGGGCACAAAAGAGAAAGTGCCGGAGGGCCGAGCGGAAGTGGCGCAAGTCCAACCTCCAGGTTGATTACAAGATCTTCAAAGATAAGTTGTGCGAGTTTAACCGGGTGCTACGTAGTACGAGAGAAAGGTATTTTTCTGAAATGATTGAAGGCTGCAGTAACAATCTGCGTGTTCTGTTTTCAACAGTTAATAGATTAACAAACCCCCCTGTTCAGATGCCATTAGAGCTAACTTCCAAACGTAAATGCAATGAGTTTGCACACTTTTTCAATGACAAGGTTCAAGGCATCAAAAACGCCATTGTCTCCAATCCACAGATAACCATCCAACAGCCAGAAAGGCTCTCTGAGCTAACTTACTTTGCACCTGTAGATGATAAAAATGTCCAAGAAATAATCTCCAGTTTGAGCTCCTCCACATGCAGCCCGGATGTACTACCCACTAGATTTCTGAAGTCTGTTCTGAGCAGTCTGTTACCTTCACTCACACAGATAGTAAACATGTCCCTTCATTCTGGAATATTCCCAAAGGCCCTGAAAACTGCAGTCATCAGGCCCCTGCTAAAAAAGAGCAGCCTGGATGCTACGGTACTTAACAACTATCGTCCCATCTCAAATCTGCCATTTATGGGGAAAGTCCTTGAAAAAGTTGTCTACCTACAGCTTACTAGATTTCTTATAATCAACAACTCATTTGATATGTTTCAGTCCGGCTTTAGACCCCACCACAGCACTGAGACTGCTCTCGTTAAGGTTACAAACGATATCCGGCTGAACACTGACGCAGGCAAAGTCTCAATCTTAATCTTGTTAGATCTGAGTGCTGCCTTTGACACCGTCGACCATGAGATCCTCTTACAGAGATTAGAGGACTGGGTTGGAGTCGCTGGCACCGCCCTAAGTTGGTTTAGGTCTTACCTTGAAGACAGGAAGTACTTTGTGGAGATTGGAGACTGTGTCTCAGATCATATGGCCCTGACCTGTGGAGTACCACAGGGGTCGATCCTGGGACCTCTTCTGTTCAATCTCTACATGCTGCCGTTAGGTCAGTTAATACGCAGAAACAAAGTGTCCTATCACAACTATGCAGACGACACTCAGATCTATGTCTCACTGACTGCAGGAGAACATGGACCAGTGGACTCACTCCTTCACTGTATCCAACAGATCAGTGAGTGGATGCAAAACAACTTCCTTCAGCTAAACGCAGACAAAACTGAAATGATTGTCTTTGGTCCCCAGAAACAAAGAGAGAGCGTCATCTGTCACCTACAGTCTCTTTCCCTAAAACCTTCAAACAAGGTCAGAAATCTAGGGGTAATACTGGACTCAGACTTAAATTTTAATAGCCACATCAAATCAGTAACATCAGCAGCTTTTTACCATCTAAAAAACATTGCCAGGATCAAAAACGTAGTGTCTAAAGCAGACTTGGAGATTCTTATCCATGCATTTGTCTCCAGTAGGTTAGACTACTGCAATGGCCTGCTCACAGGTCTGTCCAAACAGGCTGTAAAACAGCTGCAGTACATTCAAAATGCAGCAGCTCGAGTCCTGACTAGAACCAGGAAGTACGACCACATTAGTCCAGTTCTCAGGTCTCTGCACTGGCTTCCTGTGGCTCATGGAATACACTTTAAAACAGCTCTGCTTGTGAGCAAGTCTCTCCATGGCCTCGCACCAAAATATATTAGTGACATGTTAGAACCATATGAACTAGCCCGGACTCTGAGGAGCACAGGGACTGGACTCCTGTTAGTGCCCAGAGTCAGAACTAAACATGGGGAGGCTGCTTTTCAGATTCATGCTGCTAAAATCTGGAACAGTCTTCCTGAAGATGTGAGACAGGCCTCCTCTCTGACAATGTTTAAGACAAGGTTGAAAACAGTTCTGTTTAGCTGTGCATACAACTGAGGGATTTTATATTTTTATCTTTCTTTTTAATGTACTGTGATTATTTATGATTTTAATGCTTTCTTGTTCTGTTCAGCACTTTGAATTGCCTTGTGTATGAATTGTGCTATATAAATAAACTTGCCTTGCCTTGCCTTGCCTTGCCTAGTCCCACCTCCCCACACACCAGGCGAATGACAAGTGACTGACATGTGGGTTCACCAATGGGGCGTACAGAAGTCCTGCCGCGGTAGCGCCCACCGGAAGTAGCGGGGCGGGCTTTGATGCTAACAGCTAAGCTAGCGGGTTTTTTGTGTAAAGTTCTACTCCAAGAATGCAAGTCTGCAGCATCTCTGTGTTCAGAGACCTTCTAGAGACTTTATATAAACGCAGTATGTGTTCACGGAGGTGCGCCATAAGTTTATTTTATAGGTATGGTACGGTACTTCTGCATCGGCGAACACGCTAACGCTAGCTGCGCTAGTATAGTCACTAATCAAGCCTGAATGAGAACTCAGCTGCCGGCATATGTTCACAACTACTGTGTCCCCCATTGTCAATCCTGGTTAAGTCCTGGTTTAGGTCCTGTTTTGGCTGTATTTTGTATTTTTGAGTAATTTCCGTCTGCTTGCTAGACCGCTAATGTTCCCGTGACCACTTTGCGGCTCTCTGACCCGAGAGAGACGGGGGAAACAAACAAGCATGCAAATGGGATTTATCGCGGCCAGAAAAGTTATTGAGCAAATTTTATTTATCGTGCGATTAATTGATTTATTGACTATCGCAACAGGCCTACTCATTGGGTAATCTTTCTAATACATTGATGCTAATCTAAGAAAACTTGACTCCCTCTCCTGTCGGCACCCATGATGCCAAGGTGATATGATACGTGTCATGTTGTGTGCACTTGTCTCCTGCTCGTCTGTCTCTCTGGGAGGAAGGAGCGTGGGCGTTGGGTTAGCTCGGGTTTGTTTACGACTTAGGCCCCTCCTTAACGAGCACTGCAGCATCTTGCTAATTACACCGCTGTGGCTAATGAGGCTTTCTGCTGATGGAGGGGAGCGCCACGAAACGCTGCCTTTGTTTGGACTTTTGCCTTTTTAATTGGGGTAAAGTAAAGCAGAGACCAGTGTTTGAGTCCAGACCAAATGTTGTTGTTCAGCCAAATACTAAGTAGAAATCAGTGGTTTTCTGATCTTTAAATGTATATATCCCATTCTTTTCGTTTTTTCTTGCAGAATTCATGGGAATATTGCCAAATTGCATTTCTGATTTTGTTTGTATACGTCGGGTGGGTGTGTGTGCCGATTGAGTGGCAGGGGTGTCTAGAGAATTACTATAAGACCTACTAAACATCTCGTGTCTATTTTTTATAAAATTGCTAACATTTTTTATCTAAACTTTTTCTCCAGGTTCAGAACTACTAAATCTACCAAATATGATCTGGCCAAGTCAAACAAACAAAAACACAAACAAAAAACATTTGATTTTGATTCCTAAAGACTAATTGGATTAATACAATGTGATTTGAGGACATTTCTAGTTGTACCCTTCTTATTCTGAGTACTACTTTTAATATTAGAAAAAGTTATCTGAAAATGATCGGTTACTGCTTGTAAATCCATGACCAGGTGGTGTGTCTGCCCAAGTGTGTCTGCAATGCATAATTAAAGAGCACAATGACAGTTCAATATAATGCTCACTGGGCTCCCCAATAATGTGGCAGATGTGGGTATAATTGGGTTACCGCATGTGTTCCTTCGAAGAACTATTCCATGTTTGTGAGCCAGTC